ATACTAAAGAGTACTGGTCCCAGTACAGACCATGAGGGACACCGCTCGTTACTGGTTTCCACTTGGATGTTGAGCCGTCGACTGTAACTCTGGGTGTGGCCATCCAGCCAATTCCGTAGCCATCTAAGGAGTCATGCTTGTGGCGAACCCTTCATGTGGAAACAAGAGAAGGTGGTGATACAAAATTCATCATAGACCTTTTTTTCCCCCCACCAGCCTTCATGCTTTTATAGAAAAATTCATCTGTGCAATTCAGGGCACTTCTGTGTTGCAGGATCATAAGGTTGAGATTTCTAGAGTGGCACGAGGGATTTAATCAGCAATTTTAATAGAAGCTGGAGCTTAAAGGCTCGCTATTGCTTTTGAAATCCCAGCCTGTTTTTGAACCGCGAAGCGGCAGAAGCATGGGCCATGCCTACCTCCTAATCCTAATAAGGTGTTAGATAGTCATAATTAGGTTTCAAAATTAGCTGTCAGACATGCTTTTCTGAGAGGAGCCTCCATCATCTTCTGTCATTAAAACTTGGTTATGTGTCATTTTTACCCACAAATTGTTCTATTTTTTTCCCAATTTATAAACGCGGAAGATTACATCTGGCTGGACTGTTATGTTTAATACCTTTTTTAATACTGTAGCTAAATTGCCCATGATGCAACAATTGAGAAATCACAGCAAGCATTAGCATTCAAGGTGGTGAAACCACACAGCCTTGAGTTGGTCCACATCTCCAGATGCCCATCAGAAATGAAGCATGATGCCGAGAACCGGCAGCCTCCAAGGTCTTTGTTTGAAGAAAATGAGCTCAAAATAGAAAAAAATCTGTAAGATTGAAAAACAGGAGGTTGGTTGGTCTGCAGGTGACGTTCTTGGGTTCCTGGAGGCCCTCATGATGGAGGAGTCTCCAGTTCTGCTGCTACAGTGAATACGGCCGTTTCGAACCTGTATTTCCTCCCACTGCTTCTATCTTTCATTTAAAGATAGTTGTCCTCCTGCTAATGCGAGTCAGAAGAAGGGTCACAGCTATTCTGCTGTTTAATTAGCACATTTTTTTCCAATCTGCAGTAATCAGGAGGCGGTGAGATGCTGTTTGGGAGTTCCTAGAAAGCTCCTTTTTATCTTCATGCTGTTTCAGTGCTGGGTGGATAATATGGGATATTAGTGGACTTGAAATCTTAGCCTTCATTAATTGCTGCCCTGAACACTGGTTGAGTAAATTAGTTCATTTGAGGGTTTAGACATCTTATCTCTCCATCCTACACAGTCTTCAGGGCCCGTTTGCTCTAAGGATGATTTCTCCCAGCCCTCCTGCAAGAGCTCGTTACTGTTTCTCATCAGCCATCCCAGCCCATGTGCTTTTCCTTGCTCGTGTGAGCAGATTTTTTACCATTTCCTTTTTTTTAACCATTCATCGAGCTGTGACCAACACCTTGATGCCTTCACAGCACACTTGATGCAGTCCAGGGTGTCCCATGGCAGCAGCTCAGCTTTTAGTCTACCCTAAAAAAACAACCCTTAAAGCACAACAAGTATTCTTGAGGATTTTTTCCCCAATTTAGCACTTAAATAATGTTTCAGGGGCAACTTCATGGAGCCTTCCTTGGAAATGCCTCTAAAGGTTGGGAATTCATGTGCCGCATATTGTAGGTGCATGGACACCCCATCCTTGGGGCAGGTTGCACCACCTTTAGATGCTACACTTCCCATGGGGTCTTATGGAACTTCACTGCCAGGTGAAAAGAATTGGATTATGCAGTGTTATCATGGACCTGCTTAAAGCCACCCCTTTCTTTTTGGTGGAGGGTATGGGGGTCATCCCCATATTCATCACAAGCCAACAGGTAGGAAGGTACCTTGAAAGGAAGCAGAAGAAGAGTGGAGATCTTCACGGGATGTCCTCACTCCTCACTCCAGGGAAAGCCTTTAACAAAAAAAAAGACAAATATGATCAGACTTGCATTAGAGGATCTTGAGCTGGTACTGCTGGGTCTTCCTGGAAGGAAAACAGACTTTTATAAGCACCAGAACATAATGCAAATATCAGCAAAACCCCAAAGGGACACCCACAGCCAGCAGGTCGGCTGATATCACGTTATCCTTTAGGTTAGGTTTTGTTAGGTTAGGTTTATTTTTCTGGGATTATTTATTTTTTTATTTTTCCCATGTTTTGGAAAGAATCCTTCATTTTAGTTTGTCCCCCGTATACTCAGCATCTCCTAAATGCTGCAAGATAAGTTAAAGTTTCTTTAGACCTTTGATAAAGTGTAAATCTGGGACTTGGATGCTCCAGCTAAACAGCCTGATGGGATGACGGGGAAGACTGGGGAATGCTGAAGTCCAATTTCTTTTCCTTGCATCCTACCAGAAGACAAAAGTTGCTACAATCTGCCGTATTGGGATCACAAAGCTGAAAATACGGCAAGGGACGTTTCCCTGGCTGCCCAAGCGCTGCCCTCCCAAGCCCCCGCCACTCCGCACGCCTCGCCAGCAGCCTGCCCTGCCTGCTTACCGAGCAGAGAAAATGGCTTTTCTTAATGGCAGTAAAGCAGATCTGCTGCTTTTGCGGCTAATGCAAACAGCCTGTGACAGGTATGCAGGTGCTTGAGCATCGTGTGGGGTTGCCTCTCCCAGCAAGGTGAGCTGGTGCTCACAACCCTCCTTTGCAGGAGAGGAGGCTGCTCAGCCCTACCCACCCTGATGAAATACTTGGAGACATGCATCATTTTCACCTCTTAATACGGAGGTTTGGACCATCGGTGGTGCTGCCTTTCTGGTCATTGCTTGGGGACGTAGGCAGGGAACAGCAGTACTGTGCCATGCAGTTAGATCCTCCAGCAATTAAATTCTGGTTTTACCCATCACACCCCAAGCAAAAAAGGTGAAAGGACAAAAATCTGGGGATTTCCTGGAAGGAAAAGCATTATTCTCATCAGGTAGATGTGTAGAGATGGGTGAGTAGGTGTGGGGATACTGCTGTCTTGGGTGATTGAAGTGCTGGTTGAGTCCCATCAAGTCATGCCTTGACCATTGGGAATACTCATCGGCTCTTTGGCCTGGTGTAGGCAGCGTGGGAAGAGCCACTGCCAGGCTGGGTGGAGGATGCAGCCCTGGCTGCTGTGATTGATTAGGCAGGGGCTGGATGCTGGACTCAGAGGTCTTGGCTTGGCGGGTTTTATGGGACGTCAGTAGATGCTGGTGCATCTCAGTACATCCCCATGCTGAGTGAGGCCCAGCGAGCAGACGGTTCATCACGAACGGTGGCTTGGGTTGCTCATGTGCTGTGTGGACCGACCCTGCGTCTATAAATCCTTATCCTAACTTGGACTACTCTTGTCTCTGCCAGGGTACACTGCGGGGACTCCCTACAAGGTCCCACCGACCCAGAGTAACAACGCACCTCCTCCCTACTCGCCGTCTCCAAATCCGTACCAAACCGCTATGTACCCCATCAGAAGTGCCTATCCACAGCAGAACCTGTACACCCAGGTAGGTGCCTCGCCAGCCGCCGCAGCAGCTCACCACCTCACTCAGCGACGTGCAGATGCAGCCCAAGGTTCCCGTAGGGCTTCATCCTTGGCTGTCAGGGCTGAGCATCCATGTCCTGGTGGGTTGGAGGTGCTTGTGGTGGGGCTTGGTGGGTCTCCAGGATGCTGGAGTCTCTCTCTTGCTTCCTCCATTGGAACCTGTGGATGAGATGTGGTCTTGTGTGGTTATCGATGTGCAGCGGAGTCAACATAACGGCATCCCTGTGGCTCAGCCAGGATGAGAATCAGGTCCCTTCTCCCAAAATCACACACCTGACTTCTGGGGCTTGCTGGCTTCAGGATGGTCCTTGCACCCACCTCTCCCCACCCTCCCCAGCTCTCAACACTGCTCTTCCCCAGGGCCACAGATGCGTCTGGGTCACCACAGGTCCACTTGTTGGTGGCCGTTGGCATCTCACTTGACTTGCATTGCCCTCCTGCCATCTCTCATGGAAAAGCCCCTGTGTCACCTTCACCAGCACAAGCTACTTCAGGCATGACCCAGATTTGTGTCCTCGTGGAGGAGCTACTCCCTGAGCACCTGGATGGGTTTCCAGTACCATCTTCTCTGCTCCTGCATTGCCACCGCCTCCAGCTATGTGCTGGGGCCAAGATCCTCCACAAGGTTGCAATACACGGTAGATGTCCTCTGAAAATTACCTTGATGCCCCTTCACACTGAAGATCATGAGGTCCTCAGAGAGATCTGGCCCTATGGCTCCCCTAGCATTCCTCCTCCTCTTTAATGTCAACCAACTTCTCCAGCAGCTACAACCTCATGGAGTGGTTTCTACAAGCCTTGCTGAGACCGGAGCGTCTCCTCTTGCGGATTTTGTCTGCTGTCACCTCTCCTTCCATTAACTGAGTGTTGCATAAACTGCTGGGGACCAGACCCATCCCTGCATGCTCGTTCCTCTCTGATCCTGGCCTCAGCAGGAGGTTGGCATCTGCTAGCAGTGCCCACCAGCAAGCCTGAGATGGAGCAGAGCTTGCAGATGTCATTTCCTCATCTCTGCTTCCCAGGGACCGGCAAATAAGAGTTTTGACAGCCTGTAAGAGAACAACAGCGAGAAGTAGATGATTTGGTAGATCCTTTCAGCATGCTGTGCTTGCAGCACTCACTGCCTGGGGTGTTCCTTCTCTGCAGCTGGTTCCTCAGGCACCTTTTCTTCATGAGCATAATTTATCTTGGCACGTCCTTCTCGTTCCCCAAGGAAATGCCTTGCAGCATCTGCAATTTGTCCTATCAACCTTTGTAGCTCCTGAAAGAAAGAAGTGATTTCATAGTTCACCTGCATCTCCTTCTCCTCTTAATCCATGCCTTCAGTGGTTCTCTAATGACTTTCATGAGCGCACAATAAGATCTCCCTTTGTTGGTTTAAACCCTGTAATCTTTCCGACTGCCCCTGGTTTGTGGGTACCGGCGGTGTCCCTGCCTGTTCCAGGGATGGCAGTTCTCTCCCTTGCACGGCTCACCTTTCAGGCCCTCCTTTATTTTGGACATGGACCTTTTTCTGTTCCTTTCTTTTATTCCCACCCGTCCTTTCCCCCTTGTTTCAAAACCCTGCGGGGCTCGGCAGCCTGGATTTTGGAGCCCTTCTGTTTCCCATCAGAAACCCGAGAAGACAACACGCTTCCCACTCCAGAGCAAGCACCTTGGGATCAGCCGAGAGCCATGGCTTCTCCTCTTCTTCCATCTCTTGTTCATTTCCTATGCCAACAGCCAAAGTCCTTTGGGTCCAGGCCCCATTTCATCCCACCAAACGGATGCAGCACCGTTTGTCCCTGACAAGCTGACTCTCTGCCTCATGATGCTGATCCCCCTCCCAGTCCCGTTGCCTTCATCCATCCCGGGGACCATCCCACATGTCCACAGGTTCAGCTTCATCCTTGCTTGTCCAGGTCTCCAAGCACAGCAGCTTGCTCATGTGAAGTAGAAGGAGCTTGCTCATGTGAAGGTCCCTCATGAGAAGGACCAGCCCTTTGGCAGGGCTTGAACGATGTCCCATGGGTGGCTCTTGGTACCAGCAGCTACGCATGACGCCTTGCTTCTGCAACACGGCCAGAGGAGCTGAGGGCTTGAAGTCTCAAAGTGAAGGACTGTCACAGCAGAGCTGCTCTGGGCTTGTGATATGGGCTGTGTTTGGGAACCCACCAGGCACGGGGGGTGGGTGTGGGGCTGTGCTGCCCCAGCCGGCAGGACCGGCCCCGAGAGCATCACTGCTCACTCCATAGCAGGATCTACGGTCGCAGCTGATGTAAGTCCTTGCTGACACCCGCTGCACGCAGAGCTGGTGAGCGCCTCTAAATCAAATAATGGGCTTCAAGTGGTTGCTTTGGCTTGTGCTTTCAGTCGAACGGCAAAGACAATGGTGGGTTTTTTCCCTTCTCAAACAGGGAGCGTATTATACCCAGCCAGTGTACGCGGCACAGCCTCACGTTATCCATCACACCACCGTGGTTCAGCCCAACAGCATCCCATCGGCCATCTATCCGGCCCCGGTCGCTGCGCCCAGGACCAACGGTGTGGCCATGGGGATGGTCGCTGGGACCACCATGGCAATGTCAGCAGGTAAGAAGGCAAATCATTCCGTGTTCTGAGCCGTCGTTTCATCTCTCGGGTGCGACGTATCCAACCAACCTGTGCAGGAGGCTCGTCCTGGACGAAAAACTCTCTGGGCATCCGACGTGCTGGCCGCAGCCTTGCAGGGTGTACCTGGCAAGAGGCTGCAGAAGCACCTTGCACACAGCTAATTGCAGCTTCATCTGCTAATTTTGCTTGCTGGTTACCGCTCCTTTGCAGGTGAAAATCAATTAATTTGCTCCTGATACTGGTCTAACTCAGTTTTTAGGATAGCAGAGAAGACCTTTCATTAGGTTCACTCTAGAGGGATGCACTCTTGCATCCTTAAATAGATTATTCTTTCCTCTGTCTGTTCCATAAGTAGAGGAATAACCAGGTTTGTCCGTCCTGTTGCATTTCTATCCTCAAGTTCTTTTTTTAGGATACTTATGGTCTTGCTTTTGTTTGACGAAATAAACATTAACCTTGGTTTCTGTATCCCAAATCCTCTGCAATTTACGTGCAGGATTGCTTCAATCCTGGTAAACTGCCATTAATTGATAGCACATGGAGGAAGGATACGGGCTGGTTTTATTTTTTCCAAAGCCTGTATTTCTCTCATTGACAATTCTTAGGATTGTGTATTGAATTATGCCAAGAAATGCATCATTCATCCTTTCGCATCTGCATTAGCTGTGAAATAGGACTTTGTTGTGGGATGCAATCCCTGCTACAAGCAGAGGTATTGCAGCCTGGGTATGACGAGAACCACCCTGTGAGAGATTTGCTGTTGCTTGTACTGAGAAGTGGATAGATGTAACTAATGCACGTGGATTGTCTTGAGACTTCATGAGTAGCATTTGTAGAGAGATACCAGAAACTGTGAAGTTGTTTTGAGCACCCAGTTACTCCCGGAACAGAGTGGTTTGGGGCTGTATTCTCCCTCCCCGTGTCTGCGGAAGGCATGGTGCAAATTCTCACCTAAAATCCCAGCTGCAGACTAAAAGGAAAGGGGCTGCACCGGGCGGTCCCTCTGCTTCACGCCTGGGAGAGGATCACTACTTCCTGGCTTTAAATGAAGCAAAAACGCTCCACTGCCCTTGGGAGATGATTGGCAAAGTTCATCTTAATTTTCCCTGGAAGGTCTGGGGTTTTTCTCATCTCCTTCCGTAACTCTTATCCCTTCCAGTTTGGTCCTTAGATGTTTCAGATCACTGCAGTGATCTGCTGTTGCAGTTAAGCCCAGTGCCTTCAGCAGGTGGAAGGTATCAGCAGGTCGGTGGCTCGCTCTGCTGCTGGTCTTTAGGGACAAGGAAAATGGGAAAAAGATGAATTAAGGGCCGAAAGTAGCATGGAAAATACACTGGAGCTTCAGGTGGCTTTATTCCCTTCATAGCGTTGGCCGATACCAAACGCATGAGTCGAACACCTTCGATTTAGGTCTCACGGGCAGAATAGTATTTGGGAGAACTGAAGAAGAAAAAAAAGGCAGCTGACGCCGTGCCCGCCCCTCAGATGAGGGTCTGCAGCACCCTGCCCTGGGGTACCGCTCCCCCGCCGGAGCTCTCCTCCTTGCTAAGCACTTCTCCCTGCCGTTGCAGGAACCTTGTTGACCACTCCACAACACACCGCCATCGGAGCACATCCAGTTTCTGTGCCAACGTACAGGGCTCAAGGAACCCCCACCTACAGCTACGTACCTCCACACTGGTAAACCCGCTGGCCAATTCATGTAAGTGCTGCCTTCACGAGTCTTGCTCTGCCCGTGTCGATTAATTAGCCACCGAGCACTGCCGTCGCTTCTCTCCTTCCGACAAAGCTGCTGAATCCCTTTGCCCGGGCGATGCTTTGTCTCCGGAAGAGCCACTTCGCACTGCTCCGCGGCAGCGATGGCTGCACGGCGCGCTGTCACGGGGCTACGGAGGGTGTTAGCACAGCACGGCGTACCTTGACCTTACTTCTTGCTGCTCGCTGCATGCAAAGATTTAGCGTTGACCTCAGTGGCATCGAGCTGCTCCGAGTGCAGCCGGGCGCTGTGAGGGTTGAAATTTTCATGCTTTAAGGTTTTGGATGCACCACACTCTTTCACAGAGTTACCGAAGGGTTTGGTTGGAAGGGACCTTTCAAGGCCATCTAGTCCAACCCCCTGCCATGAGCAAGGACATCTTCAACTCAAGCAGGTTGCTCAGAGCCCCGTCCAGCCTGACCTGGGATGTTTCCAGGGATGGGGCATCCACCACCTCTCTGGGCAACCTGGGCCAGTGGTTCACCACCCTCAGTGTCAAAAATTTCTTCCTTAGATCTAGTCGGAATCAGCCCTTTTTGAGTATAAAACCATTACCCCTTGTCCTATCACTATGGTCTCTGACAAAGAGTCCCTCCCCATCTTTCATATCACTTGCATATGGGATTTTTCCCCTGCTAAAACGTTGTGGGAGATCATCCTGTTCTTTAGCACCGGGGCTGCACGCGGCTGCCTGCACCCTGCCTGTTCTTTAGCACCGCGGCTGCGCGCAACCGGCCGCAGGTTCCTCTGAAGCTGCGGATCCCAGAGATCCCAGCTGCTCGTCTCGACGCAGCCGATGGGAGCACACGGTGCCGCGCAGAGGCCTCGCCCAGCCCGGGGGGTTATCTGCCACCTCGCCTTGCTGCGTACGTTACTCCTGTCTAATCCTGCACCGCTTGCTTCTCACTCCTTCTTTTTAATACGTTTGCTTTCTTCCAGATCCGGAGTCAAACATTGTATGCAACTACACAAGTCTTACATCGGTGCTGTGGCCGCTGTACTGCAGCACTTCGTCTGTTTGCAAGAACAAAAGAAAAAAAGAAAAAAAAAAAGTGCAAGGGTCACTTTATGCATTCTTTAGTGGTTTTTGTAAAAGCTGCTTTTTCTAATCTTCTGCCTCTTTTTTTTTTTCCTCTCCCCCTTCCTCCTCCCCAATCCACATAAATTGTGTAACACACATAACTGACACTGAGCAATAGTAAAGTTCTCTCTTTGGTCCTACCATTTGAAAGCTCAGAATATTCACTTTTCCAGCGTTGCCCAGCTGAGTGGTGCAAAGATCCCCCACTTCTTGTTCGTTTGGGTTCTTTTTTGTTATTTTTCTGTTGTCGTTGTTGTTGACGAGAGCCTAGGTTTTCTTTGGCTAGTAGGAGTGGTTGATGTTCAGGGTACTACGTGAAAAGCACAGCGCTGGTAGGCAGGCTTATTCCGATTTGGTTTGGGTATTTTTAGTTGAATAATATAAATTATTTAATCTTCCATAACATATTACAAGAAAATTGGTGTCTTCCAGATAGCTGTCGTGATAGATTTTAAATGCATTATCTGCAGTGAAATTCTGAACTCATCCCTTCTTTTGTAAGAGTAAGAGAATATAAATATTACTAGCGACGTAACACACTTGTCTTAGGAAGTAGGAGGACTGGTCACCATCGGGTCTTTGGTCTGCTGTTTCCAACTGGGCAAACAGATCTTGCGTGACAGGAAGAGAGCAGTGGAGAGACGTGTGCCCTGGGAGCGTCTTGCACCTCTTGGGAAAATGAGATGCTCCCCATCGACCGTACCCCGGGGCTGCGTGAGGGAGAAGTTCCTTCCTTGCATGGCTACCGTTTGTGGGCAGAGATGTGCTGAGCAGCTGGTGAAGGAAGCAAGGAGATGTCCAAGGGTTGGTCTGAGGAGCTTCTCCCAGTCCAAGGGTTGGTCTAAAGAGCCTCTCAATGTCCAGGGGTTCGTCTGAAGAACTTCTCCAGTGTCTGGTGGTGTGGGGAACGAGGGGGGCTGGTTGGTGAAGAGCCTTCGAGGCAGGGCAAGGGGGAAGACGGATGGCTTCACCTTGTACGCGTGCTGTTGGCGGGGCTGAGACCAAACTGCGACGCCTCCGTGGCAGCCGAGGTGCCCCCGCATTCTTTGGGTTACAGCTGGGCTCGGAGACTTCCAGGAGAAATGTTCATCCAAGCACAAATCCCGGCACCATAGAGAAGGGCTGGAGGGGGGATGATGTCCGGCTGCTCGGTTTGGCGAGCAGGGAGAAGTGGGGGGAAGGGGAAGCGATAGCAATAAACGTCGCCTTCCTCACGGGAAGGCACCTGAGAAAAGGCAAGGAAGGTGGTCCACAGTTGACGTGGACAAGGCTGGGAGACAACAGGCACGCGGAAGCTGTGGGCATCGGGGTAATTTCTGGGGGTTTTGGCTCACCCAAGGGTGCAAGGACGTGAAGCTGACTGCGGCAAGTGACATTCCACCTCGGGGTGTCCAAGTAGAGCAATAAGTTGTCTCGAGGGCAGCAAAGAGAGAGTTCATGTTTGCAGACAATGCTTGCGGCCAGTTTATTTTTAAATCCTTATCACTAAACCCAGCATAGAAACAAGGTTCTTCTTTTTTTTTTTTCCCTAAGAGAAAAACATCACTGGGTTTTGATTTTTCCCTCAAGCATGCCGAGAGAGTTACATTCACCCGGCGGCGTGTTTGCAACTGTCACTGTTGCTCTTGGGCTCCGAGGTTGTCGCAGTGGACCAAATCCAGAGCCTTTAAAGAGGTCAGGTTAGGAGATGTGGATGGGAATCCCTCCCGGCACTGCTTGGCAGTGCCTCCAGATGGAGGTGAGCGTGGTGGAGACCAGCACTGGAGGGTCACCTTGACTGGGGCATGGTGGTGTAGAGGTCAGACTGGAGGGTCTTTCAGAAAAGCAAGGTGACGAGTTGTTGGCACCTGGGTGAGACTTCCTTTCTTTTGGTGGTGTCTTCCAGCTTGGCTCTGCTACCATTGGAGGAGCTACTGCAGCTCCTTCCCATGAGCATGGTCCAGATGGGGAGAAACAAGCTTAGGGACCCAAGAGGACTTTTCCTACCGCTGCCTGGTCCCGGGTGGTTTGGCAGGTCGGGTGTTGGCTCCAGTGCTTCTGTGTGACGATCATTTTGTTGGTTCTGCTGGTTTTAAAGGAAATCTAGCAAAGCTCTGGTTGACCTTCCCAACCTCGCAGGGAACAAAGTGGGTGAAGACTGAACACCAATGCTATAGGGTGAGGAAGGTGGATTTCTCCCGTGTAGTACTTTGGGTTGCATTTTGGGTTCATATAAAAGGAAAAGGGAAGAAAAAAAAAGAGTAAATAATCAGAGGGTTGTCCCGTTCAGCTTAGCGAAGCCAAGGATTAGCACGTAAAGAGCAATGGGAATAACAATACTGCATCGTCCTTCCACTGTTCGTAGCACGCTACTGTTAAACCTGGGCCAAAAAAAAAACCCCAGTAGATGACAGGCATTGAAGACCTCTCAAATACCTTTTTTTGCTCTCACTGTTGACTTCATGTTATGTATTAGGAGCTGTCTGTCAGCGTTGAAACACATAGGGTAGAGTAAGCTCTAGCCAAGGTAACAGCACTATGACTTGCAGGGTCCAATGAACTTTGTTACCACAGCCCGGGCCCTGCAGAGGAGGACCTTTCCCAGCAGACACCGTCCTACCACTGGCCTAAGCACCCTTCACGCTTAACTGCTAAAATTTTGGCCCACAGCTAGGAAAGAGATGGTAGGCTTTCTCCTGAAAGGAAAGAAAACACTAAAGGTGGGGTAGAAAGCTCCAGGAGCTGAGCCTGGAGGATCACCCAGTGTTACCGCTAATGAGATCTGACGTGGAGCGGTTTAGTTTTAATTCCTTCACTTGGATCAATAGCAGATCCGATGCTCCTCAGCCCGTTATGCCCAGACAGAAATACTCGAGGTGAAAGATTCACCGTCTGTTGGGCAAGAGGCTTTGGTGAGCACATTTGGCAAGCGGTGTTGGGTTTAGGCTTGGACCACTGCATGGCTCCAGGGCCACCGCATGGCTCTGGGGCCACCACATGGCTCCAGGCTTCGGTAGCTCCTTCCCAAGGTGGAGTCAAGGGGCAGTGGGAGTGGGGATGCAGTGACTGGCATCGTGCCAGCCGGGACCTGCAGCCCTGTCCCCTTCCCCGTGGAAGGATGTGGTTTTTCAGATAGGTGGAAGGATGGGAGGAAAGCCCACGACCCAAAGCCCTTTCCTTGGCCAAGTCATGGCTCAAGTGAAGGTCCTGGGGCAGCTGCAGCCCGGTGGGGGACTCCCTTGGTGGGGTGTGCGGTTGGGGGGCACCAGCTTCTCAAATATTTCTCTCCAGCAAAGCTTTGCCGACGTCGGTTAAAGAAAAGGGTTTCCCACGGCGAAGGATCGCACCGGGCGTTAGCGGGGAAGAGCAGGAGGGGTTAAACCACCCTTAGCAGGGCCAGCGAAGTGTCTCAGAGACTAAAATTCCAGCGAAAGAGGAAGGAAAATAACTCTCAAACCGCCGTTACGGCCATTAACCCATGCCTACCGTTATCTTTGCTTTAAAACACGGGCTGTGACGCAGGGTCTGGGGGGGTGCTGGCCCCCAGCCGGAGCGAGCCCCTCGGAGCCCGTACCCACCACGCCTCCAAGCGGCTGAACCCTCCGGGCGAGGGTTTGCTCCTGTATTTTACGCATAATAAAGAAGAACCCATAGTCCAGCTTTTTGCAGTTTCAAGACGTAATTACCGTGAAGTGTTATTTCAAGGTTTCTTGGGTTTTTTTGGAATGGTGGCTCTTTCAGGGTATCAGGTTTATCCCCCCGCTGCCAGCATCCCGCGGAATACGGTCCTTCCCGGAGAGACCCCCCCCTCTCTTTGCCATCCCCTCCCTCCCCTCCTGCATCCCGGCGGATGCATCCCCGCAGGGGATTTGGGATGATGTGCTCCCCGGCTGGAGGGCGTGAAATCGGGTCTTGCTTTCTTAGAGGGAGAAAACCCACATTTGGGGGGTTGTTTTTGATAGGAAACCCCAACCAACAGACAATAGCAATAAGAGCTGCTGGAGACCCATAAATCCAGGTTTTGGGGGTTGGGGTTTTTTTTTTTTCAGTTCTCAATATTTTCAGGCCCTCTGAGCATCTATTGTCCCCAAAACGCGGCGACCCTCTGCCCGTCTCCCCTTTGCTTTGCCGCGAGCGCCGAGCTGTCGGCAGGATCAGGCTCCGGGTATTTTCTCTGCCATGTGCGAGCATTCCGATAGGGAAAATAAAGGAAAATAAAGCGTGTTAAGGAACTTGGGAGGGAGCAGAGCTCGGAAAAGGCGTTTTTCCAGTGAGCTGCACTGTGGCACTTACAGATTCACTGGTAACCAGGTAAAATAACCTGTTACAGGGATGTTTGCAAAGCAGGAATAGCAAAATACGTGGTTTAACGGCAGCAATTCCCGGTTGGAAATGCGCAATTGTGCTGTTTGT